AAGCCATTCCTATTTTCATGATCCTTATTTCACTCTTTGTCTGTTTGCACACACACACACATGAACATAAACAGTGACTGTATTTTGCTCACTGTTAGCTCCCCATTGCCAGGCGCACAGTAGGCAATCAATATTGAAATGTACTGGGACTGGCGGACAGTAATCAGACAACAATGCTAGTGTTATAACCCAGTGAGGTGCCCTGGAGGAAGGAGCATGCTTCTCTGAGAGCATTTAACAAATGACTGTTGGGAGGGAAGGCTTTTCTGCTCAGAGGCCACACTCTGCCACTTTGGGGCTTCTGCACTTGTGTCGGCCAGGCTCCTCCTTGCTCTTGCATAATTGGCTCCTTGTCCTTCAAACTTAGGTGTGATGATATCTCCTCAGACACCTTCTCTGAGCAAAATATCTCAGAGAGACCCACACACTCCAGCTCAAAATCCCCTGACGCAGGAGGCATCCAATCAATGATTCTCTCTCATCACTGATGTTTCTATCGCTCTCACTCCTTTCCTCTCTGAAATCAATAAAAATATATTTTTAAAAAAGATATATGGAACACTATGTTCATTGCAGCATTATTTGCAATAGTTAAGACATGGAAACAATCTAAGTGTCCTTCAACAAATGATTGGATACAGAGGGAGAGGTACATATATACAATGGAATACGACTCATCCATAAAAAAAGATTAAATACTGCCGATTGCAACAACATGGATGGATCTTTTGAGGATTATGCTAAGGAAGTAAGTCAACCAGAAAAGGACATGTTAACTAGTAAGTTCCAGAAAAATGAACTATAATATTCAGTAGAAGCTAACAGCTTTTTTATAAAAACAACAAATGAAAAGAGCAAAGAAACAAAAAAAAAACAACACAAATGGTAACATGGTGGTGGGGAAGAGGTTAAAAGGAGGTGAAGGAAGAAGACTAAACTTCACAATAGAGTATACAGATGTCCTATTACAACACTGTGCACCTGAAATTTACATAATGTTATTAACCAGTGTTAACCCAATACATTTAATTTAAAAACAGTCACATATTTTTGGTTATTTGGTAGAAGTGTGTGTGTGTGTGTGTGTGTGTGTGTGTGTGTGTGTGTATGTGTGTGTGTGTGTGTATGTGTGTGTGTGTA